GTGGGGGGGGCAGATGACCCAATATCTACCATATATGGCAAGAACAGTACTTCTCCTTATACTAAAAAAAAAAAAATTGCCTTAAATTTGACTGAGAACAAATGGATGCCTCCTAATGCTTAAGAGAGGAAACAGGAAAAACAAAAACAACAACAAAAAAACATAATCAACGCAACGTAACATAACAGAACTATCATTCAAATTCACACTTTTTAGAGCATTAAAATGTAGCAGTGATGTAATATCAGCTGCCTCCAGGGGCTAGATTTTATAAAAGAGATATGAAAGCACAATGAAATAAGGTTCACTAGTACTTATAATGCAAAAAAAAAAAAATCATATACTTACAAGATCCAAAGCTGACCCTCCACCTAAGTATTCCATTATTATCCATAGTTTTGTGCCCTGTAAAGGAAGGCATGAGTTGTTAGAAGTCCAAGGCTGACATAAAGAAAAAAAAAAAATTCAACAGACTACCAACATACTGTTAGAATGCAGATGCAGAGCCCCATCACCAAGTTACATGTAATTACTTCTTGTAGAATGATTGCACAGCTCCTGTGCAAGATGTCTACATTTCAATTAAAGTTTAACTTGTGTATTTAAAAAAGCAACAAAACACCCCACCACCAGTTCCCCCCTGAGTAATCATTTTCCATTAACTGGTATCTAAAACGATTCCACCTAAGGGAATGAACTCAGAGAAAAAAGTTACTTGGTGGTGGTTTAAATTAAGTGTTTTAATGCAAGATTGTAGTTCTCACAAAAGACTGTCTTTGCATCACAGTTATTAATTCCAGACATTTGTGATACAGAAGCATTACAATTTTAATAGGAAACTTTCGTGTATCATCACCACACCTCTCATCTGAGGACAATACTCAGAACTTAAAACTGCTTTTGAGCGAGAGAGTGAGCATGAACACACTTCAAAGACAACAGAAATTTAAAGACTAATGGAGGTAGCTGCTAGGTGCCTCTTCACCTACGTGGTAACTGTGCATGTGTGTATTGAACATGTCCACAAGCTCCAACTTAAGTTGTCAGAGCCAGCAAAAAGCGAGAACTGACAGCCCTTGAATATTCTGGTATCTAAGGACTTACATCCTACCACAAAACATGCCTGCTACCATAGGGGCAGCTCAGATTTTGAGATACAAAGCAGCACTACAACCACCAGCCAGAAGAAATTGCAGTGTCAGACCTGGAACCCTACAAAAACATTCAGGTTTCTGAAGTTTTCAGATCAGAGGTTCAAAATCACCCATTAAAAAGGTCAAAGATAAGAGCAATACAGTTAAATAAAAAGTATTACTTAAGAAACCTACTTAGGATTTTTTTTTTTAATTATTTCTAGTAATATTGCAAAGTTCATGTACTCATAGAATCATAGAATCGTTTAGGTTGGAAAAGACCTTTAAGATCATCCAGTCCAACCATTAACCTACACTACCAAGTCCACACTAAACCAATCAAGGGTAGACTAGACTAAACCATGTCCCAGAGTGTCACATCTACCCGTTTTTTGAACACTTCCAGGGATGGTGACTCCACCACCAATCTGGGCAGCCCGTTCCAATGCTTGACTACCCTTTCCGTGAAGAAATTTTTCCTAATATCCAACCTAAACCTCCCCTGGCGCAGCTTGAGCCCATTTCCTCTTGTCTTATCGCTAACTACATGGGAGAAGAGCCCAACACCCACCTCACTACAGCCTCCTTTCAGGTAGTTGTAGAGAGCGATAAGGTCTCCCCTCAGCCTCCTCTTCTCCAGACTAAACAACACCAGTTCCCTCAGCCGCTCCTCATAAGGCCTGTGCTCCAGACCCTTCACCAGCTTCATTGCCCTTCTCAACCCCTGTGAATAGGTGAGTTTTTGTGCTTTCTTTGTGGAGATGTCTCAACTACTAGAATACTAGAACTGACAAATTCTTCTTACACTTATTTCTAGATGCTGACTTTGCCCTTGGTATGTAGCTGCTTCATATGAACAAAACTGGAAAAAATTGGTATCAGATCTGCAGACTGTATGGTTCAAAACTGGGATCTTCTGCTATTTGCTTGCCAGAGTTGCCTCACATTTCAGAAGAGCCCCAAATATTAATCTATGGGCTACTACTCTAAGAAATTCTGCAAATAAACCATTTATTTAAAATAAAAACCAGTTATTAAAAATACTCAACTGAACCAGACCTGGTAAAGTACCACACACGCTGTTTAAGCCTCCAGCAAATATTTACTAGTTCTAGTTTCTTATAACAGAGCACAAGCTTACGGCAGAAATACCTTTTAAAGCCTTTTGCATTCTACATTGTACACTTTCCCGCCCTATTGCCTGACTAGTGACAGAAACCTAAAGAAAACTCAACAAGCAAATAAAGGTGCAGTTTCTGAAAGTACCACATCCAATTATCTTAACAAAGTGTGCTCTATTAGATTTATACTGAATTTAAAAAAAACACCATTTATGAGAGTCTATTCCAATATTATGAGATCAGCAGGGAAGGGCTGGCTAATTTTAGCAGTTTTTATAAAGCCTAACTTTGTCAGCTGAGAAGACCTGCAAGGAACTCCAGTTTAAGGCAAACATTGTGGTTACCGGACATGTTTGGAGGATTTGACTATTACTTGAAAACAGTATAGGGTGAAAATGAATAAGTACTGTGTTTCTGAAATAATGTCTCAAAGAAATTGCTACTATCCACCGTAACAGGGTGTGGGTATTTTCTAGCCAGGCATGAACAACCTTCTTCCTAGCTATTTTAGGTCAATCAAGTATAAATAGGCAATGTAGAACAAACAGTATCTTTAGATTGTCTCAAAAGGTTTGCTGCACAAAGCGCTGTACAATTTTGATGGAAGTCTCTGGATGCTACTATAGGAGTTCTCCATATTCAAAGCTGAAAAACTGAGAATAACTTCAGGCTTGCTTTAAGTGCAAAAGATAAGAGGGAGCCCAGGTGACTGTCAAAATTACAAGGATAGATATTTAAACCCCTCAGCTAGATGGCACAAACAGGGAAAACAATAATGAAATTTCAGTCGCCAAGAGAAGATCTATCTCTATGGGATCAGATGGAAAGCACAGCTCAAGTATTTTATCCAGCTTTACAAATTTGCGTAACCACAACATGCCAGAACTAGGGTAACTTTTAATACCTTTCATCTTTTTCTTGCCTGAACTGATAAGGTAGTAATACATTTTGACAAGCCATTAGGCCTGAGGAAAACACTCATTTTAGCTACCCAATGTAACTTACACTGCTGTGCTGCAATGTGCTATCACTTTTAAGGGTACCCTCCACAATCAGTATTTTGTTTATTGAGATGTGATGTTAATTGCAATCAAAGTGCAATATGAGATGAGGAGACAAATTTAGATCCTGGCCCACCACAAACAGGAACATCTACAGACACATACATCAGGATTTAAGTTATCTTACAGCTACAGAAGCTGTACTGATACAGCTGTAAGCTTGTACAATTCTATATACATTTGTGAAAGACGTGATATAAAACATTCTACTACCCTACACAAATGTGTTTATTACAGTGCATTCTTTGACTGTATGCTTGTATATCACCTACCAGTATGTTTAAAAATGACTACTGATCTTGCCAGATACCCAATGAAGATTTAAGAAAAACATTACTAATACCTAAGCTCTAAGATTAATTAAATGGGAAACTCCCATTCAAACTCCAAAATTCAAGCTAAACAGCTACCCCAAATTACAAAGATAGGAGGGTTTTGCACCTTTTTGTGTCACAATAACTGAAAACTGGCATCAGCTTATCCCAAGAACCTCAAGAAAACAGACCAATAATAAGTTTTTTAAAGAGTAAAATATCTGATAACAGTCAAAAAACACTGCACTGCTAGGTAAAAATATTAAGGGACTGTCCATATTTTTAAAATCACATTTAGAAGTCAGATGTACAAGCTGTAGCTAATGAGCAGCTAGGCTGCAGAACATAAGAGTATCTTACATGGCATCAGCTGAGCTGACTGAGTTACAAATTAGTAAGTCAAGTAATTGAAATAAAGACACTCTTCCCTTCCCCCTTTCAGGAGCAGGAGCCTCTGGAAGAGCCTGCATGTAGCTGGTAAGCCTGGGCCACTCCATCACAGTCAGCCACAAGGCTGGCTTTGCATCCTGAAGTGCGAGGAAACTGTAAAGCTGCAGGATATGTTGAACAGACTGTACAAAAATGAAATCTTTCATCTGAAATGCTTGCAATTAGGAAACCCTCACAGTTAACATCTCTTCTTTCATGTTTTAGTCATGAACAACTTTTAATTATCAAATATGCTATCTTACCAGAGGAAAAACCGAAACTGACTACAAATTGATGCCAAGAACAATCTGCTTATTCAAAGCTTACTTAAAATTGGTTAAAAAACCAGTAATAAGTTACAACAGAAGATGTTCCGTTACCGTTCAATTGGATGAACTGAGGCACATGTGAAAAACCTGAAGCCAACACATGGTCTCAGCTGCAGTTTCTTCAAAGTAGAAACTATCAAATGTAAAGATTTAAACCAGATCTAGATTACTCAGCTAAGAATTATCAGTAAGTGTTGTAGGCAACCTGAATGCCTTTGCACTGAGGGTTGGCTTTGGTATAGTCGGGAAAATACTAAGGTCTCTTTGATTTAAACAGTGCAAAACTCAAAAAACATTTCTAATGCCATTCCTAGAGCTTCAGAAAAAGCTACATGTATGATTAATATATTTTAGTAAACTATTTCTATTCTGTAAGCATGATCTAAAAGAGGGCAGACAGGCTCAACTGTTCTGTTTTCCTGTAAATAAAGATGAAAAGGGGAAAAGAAAAACTCTATTAAATTTTGAAATACCTTCTATTTACTGTATGTTTATGCTCTTTTTAACCACTACCTTAAAAGGTATTTCTAGGACTATTTTCAGTGATCTTTATATATATAAAAATAAGTATTCTCCAACAAACCTATGGGACCACTTTGAATGTGATCTTTGTACCAGTCATATCCATAGCAAACCACTATTAATTTCTGCAGCCCAGGATTTTGCTTTGTAAGAAATAAGATGTCTTAATTTTCAGATTTTAGCCTCGATGTTCTTCATAATTAAAGGTTAAAGTCATTTGGTACACATATGTACCTATTTCACCGTTTCCAAGAGGTGTCTACTGTATATAAAGAAATTAAATTGTGAATTAAGTACTACACAGCTAAATACTCAGGCTGACAGCCACTCTCAGAGTAATAGCTAATGAAAGTTAAAAGCTACAGCAATTAAGTAAAAAAAAGACAGATATGACTCTCAAAATACCTGTTACTACTAAAATGAAAAGGCAGCATAAAAGATTCTTTCCACATTTAACAAAGCTAATACACTCCTTTCCCTGAGGAATCTCAAGCTGAAAGATCTAGTATTAGCAACCAAGAACAAATCTAGCCTAAGAAAAATTTAGAGCCAAGATACTACTTAAACAGTCATTTTATTTATTTTTAATTACAGAACTAAAAGCACTCATTTATTTGTGGACATTTTTATTCATTTACTTGGGGAACAGTAAGCAGTAGAATTACCTATCATGCTAGTCTGGGATGAATAACATTCCTGTGTACTGTTTTTTAGGGTTGCTTGTTTTTTGGGTTTTTTTTTGGGGGGGCGGTAATTAGGAATTTCTTAAAGGAATAGGAAAGTAATCAAAATTCCACAAACAACTCCCCAAGCTCTACACACAGAAATTTGCCTTCCCTAAAAATATTGGAAGCGTGAAAAGTAAACAGGAGGTCAGCATTAACCTTTCAGAATTTATCCATTTAGAATAGAAATGGGAAGAACTCAAACAGTGGTGAGGAAAGTACAGAAGCATTAACATGATCATATATTTGCCACAAATTTTTAAAAAGTAAAAAACCCTAACCAGAAGTTGAAAGTTTTCTAGCACTAATAGAATAGCTATACTTACGTATCTAAGAAAAGGTGTAAAAAGTGAAAGGCTTGCATAACAAGGCCAAAGACAAACTGCTGTGATGCACAGGTACTTAGGCAGATTTGCAATACCCTTTTTGCTTTCAGTACCTACGTTGCTGTAAATAACGAAAAGCCTATTTTATTTCCCTATTTAATCCATGACTTATAAAGCTTTTTCCGTCCCCCACCCCCCAAACACACACACACAAAACAACCCCCCACCAAATCAGGGTTTCATTTCCCCATTTACAGCTGCTTAAATTGCTGTTTAATTCTGAAATTTAACTAAACACTTTTCCAAGCAAAAACACTTTCCAAGATTTACCTTGACCTGTTTGTACTTCAGGGCAAACAATTGGGCTTTTACGACACAAAGTTAGAATGACGGATACCCAGGAGGATAATATTGAGGACTTAGTTCACAACAGAAAATAAAGGACTGTAAAAAAGACTGACGTCTGGATCTGCAGTACCATTTGTGCACTGTTCCAGGGGAACATTTCTAGCTGAATTCAAAGTTGTTTTGAGAAGAACCAGCTTGTTCTAATATACTATGATGCAGGGAAGTAAATTCTACTACATCTCAGAACTCTATCACTTAATACCAAAACAAAAATCACACTGATTATGTCCAGTAAAAAGAATGAAAGATGAGACATCAGTGACAACTTGTATGTTTACTTCAGCATGAAGAACTCACAGAATACTGAGTAACTAAGTAAACAGCAAAGCCACCACAGCTGTCTTATCTTGGTCAAAATAATAATTTAGTGTTTGGAGTACAGAAAAGTAAATCACCCACTTAGCATTAAAACATAAATTGCCAAAGTATTCCATTTTTTTAAGAGAGGAAAAAAAACCCATATCAACAAAAAACACTACTAAATAAATTCTGCAAAAGCTTTTATAGTATCACTGAAAGATACAGCACAAGTGTGACACCAGAACTTTTCTCAGAGATCTGTCTTTAGAATAATGTCAAAAACCCCACTATACCTTAAGGAGCCAGAAATGCCTTGGGAGGGGAAAACAAAAACCCAGACGAAAAAACCCAAACCCCAAAAACCCAACAAAAAACACCCCCCAAACCCAAGCAAACAAACGAACAAAAAATGCAACAAAAAAACCACACACAAGCAAACAAAACCCCCAGACATTTAAGATAGCTCTAACTATGCTTAGCACTTTAGCTTTTATTAAATAATTTTAGTATTTTAAAAATCATCTAAAACATGCATGCACTGCAGATCACTTAAGCAATATTTAAGGTGATCATACCTGGACAGTTTTGCAAGTTGAAAAGACTTACTCAACATTTTGGATTTCTGTAGGTTTTCATTTTTGTTTGTTTGTTTTTAAATTATGCCTTAGATAACATTTCATCCAGTGGTTACATAACTGCTGATGTCAGTTTTACTTTGTCTCAGGCCTACTATGCTGCGTAATTACCAACACATCTCTACATGGTGCAGGGTTTCTTTCCATATCAGAAAAAGGGTTTTGTTTTCTGTAGCTACAAAAGTATTTTTAATTCCCCCAGAAAGGCCACAAATTGTGCTAAGGATTGTGGAGGGAGGAGAGAAAACCAAGGTCGAAAGGAAACAGCAATGGCAAGAGGAATCCTCTATCAACTCCATTCATTCTCTAGCCATTTTGTGCAAATTCCAGCCTCGAAGAGCAAGCAGCAAAAGGAGCAAAACAAAGTTAAAAGCTCTGTTCAAAGAAAAACAAAAACCTACTAAAAAAGGTCAAGTTGGCATGATAACTCTTCCTCAGTTTTAGTATTTTTTCCTAGCGGCATTCAAAACAACTGGATGCTAGCAAATCTTTGTGCAATACCATACGTTACCTTTAAATATGATCCGTAGTATTTTGTTACATAAGGACTATCACACTGACTTAAAACAGTTATCTCTTGCTGTATATCTTCTATTTCATCTTCTGCTTCCTCAAGGTCTATGATTTTTATAGCAACCACTTGCTGCGTCCGATTATCAATTCCTTTAAAGACTTCACCGAAGGAGCCTTTCCCAATGCGTTCCAGTTTTGTGAATAGTTCCTCTGGGTCTGCTCTGTGGTTCTAGAAAAAAGAAAAAAAAGAAGCGGGGGAAAAAAAAAAAAGATACACAAGTTACTTAATTTACTTCCAAGTTATTAGCCCTCATTACTTCCCAAGAAGCACACCATCCAGATTTATTATCAATAGAAGGCTCGCATCAGATAAATTTATCTGCACACTAACTTGTAATATAGCTATTAGTTACAGAACATATATTATGCAATTATGTCAAAGGTAAATGAGCCTCACCAGGAAAGGAGTCAGGTACAAACCTCATTTCACTTCCCCATGTAACCACCCCTTTAAAACGAAAGAATAGAGCTGTTCTTAATATTAATCCTATCTGTACAGTAATTCAGAAGACTGAGGGATGCAATTACTGGCACAGAAACACTAACAATATCACCCAGGCAGAAATGGCTGGGCTTTCCACCTGGCCAACAGCCTTGGGCAGAGAAAGCATCCCATCAACTAATAGAGCATGGAGCTAGTTGTGAGAGGACTGCACTACCGGGCAGATTCTGAGATCTGGTAAGATCAGGCATCTTCAGGGCAGCTAGAAGTGCTGACAGAAAGTAGAACAAAAGGGACTGAGAGATGTCTGAAGAAGGAATAAGGCAGCTGTAGGAACACGTGTGACAAAAGCAGCAGCAACTGCCACCCAGCCTTTCCCTGCTGCTAGAAAAGCTGCAGAATTGTCATTTAGCTAGCAACCTAGTATGTTCCTAAACTACAACATTAGTTGCAATAAGGAATAATTAACTGATAGTTCTCCATTTACAACAGAGACACACACCCCTGCTCCAAGAAACAACAGTTATGAGAGAAGCTTGGCAAAGCTTTCCATTAACTCTAAAATACTCATCTTCAGAAAAACTAGCTTCATTGTGAGACATGCTTGGAGCCTGGGATTCCAGGAATCATTCATGCTAACTAACAGCTACTGTTGATTTGATATGAAACCTGTTAAACACTTCCAGACAGATAAAAGAAAAGCAATTTAGTCACAGATACAGTCAGCCAATCCAACCCTTCACAAATGTTTGATGAACTCAAAGGGCAACACTTGGGTTTTGCTTGGGGAGCAACCTTAAGCAGAAAATTCCTCTGGGCTCCTCAGTGGAAATGCACATCACCCAATCCTATACACCCACTTAACGGTCATCAACAAAACAAGCCAGGCCTCCAAACTCTCTCCCTCAAGCTACTTCAGGTGAATCAGAGCTTCAAAGGCTATTTTAACTTCCGACAACTCCCAACGCCATTGCGTGGGAGTGCTGGAGTATAGGGAGAGATCAGGTATGGCTGGACTTCCAGACACTGCAGAACTCCATGTACATCCCGGGGAGGGAGAGGTGGAACAGAGGGGCATCAGAGGAGAACAAACTGTGTGGGACTACTAGAGGAAAAAGTCGCATCTTTCTATTCTGAGAAAACCCTCTCACAGCAAGCAGCTTCTTTACGCTTCTGTTATTCACCAAGGCTGACAAGGAACTGTAGGACACTCCAGGGTAAGGGCAAATGTTTCTGACCAGCTATGGCTAATATTGAGATAATGTCCTTTGGAAAGGCTTCAAACTTAGAACACTATAAAACTTAAAATATGGCCTTAGAACAAAGACTACCTTTTGAAACAGATTTGCTTTTACTTTTCTTAATTTCCTTACCTTTCAGACCATTGTTCTACAGGAATGTTCTACAACTAATAAAAAAAACCCAAAACACCAAAACTTTAAAAGACTACTTTTTAAACAAAGGTAAATTTATATAATGCAGTAATGCCTATCCTCTTCCTCCTGGTATAGAAAAGGATGGACTTTATAGGATGGATTTTAAAGGATGGATTTTATATAAATAAAAGTGTGTATGTGTGTATACACACCCCAAATATACACCAATACATTTTTGCAGCACAGCTGCCAGCTAAGCTTCTAATATGGTAGAAATTAAGATTTCTAACACTATTAACACTTCTGAGCAAAACAGCCAAATGTTATTCCCTATTCTTTCACGGATCTTTCACTGAATGGGAAAAAGGTTTAGAAGTTTTGAAAGTTGCCTGCATGAATAATTGGGTTTTTAAAAAAAAAAAAAAAAAAACAAACCCACAAACAAAACTAGTTTCTGTGGGGAGTCATGTCTGTTGAGCAGCAGATGGTAACAATACAACAGACTGTGTATGGGCTCCATCATCACCTCCCTGAAGATAACACCTGTAAGTGGACAAATCAGGAAGAGAATCTATTGCTCTTCCCCTCCCTAAGCCCATTTCCACTGCCAAAAGCAGCAACAAGTACGACAAGCACAGGCACATTCACATGCCAACTTCAATCTCACCAGCATGAGCAACAGTACCAGCACGAGCGTGACAATACAAGCCCTCTGCATAGCTTAGGAAGTCCACCATTTCACCAGTCCAGCACAACTATACAGCCTGTGCTAGTGTTCAGTAAAATCTCTCTTCCTCTTACCCAGTCATGTGCCATTACTGTATGTGTTTATACACATAGGTATGTACACATACAAAGTCACAGGATCATAGCATAATTCGGCTTAGAAGGGACTTCAGGAGGTCATCCAGTCCAACTGCCTGCTCAGAAGCCCCAAATAAAAAACACTATAGCATAATTTTTGCCAGCATACCTGCAGTAGTTGCATCAAGTATTCTGCCAGTATGGCTTATATAAGCATTTTCTTTTTATTCTGATAAACACAGCTACGCAGCAATGTCCTGGCTGCATTCTGCTACAAGAATGACTGGCTGACTCACCTTCCCACCTTTTCACGTACCTGATCTCCAAATTCTGCGTTCTTCCTTTGAAACAAAGTTAAAGCACACTGATTATCTAGCTTCCAGGGTTATACAGATATCTAATGACATACACCAAATTAGAAGAAACAGTATCTATGTTAGACTGCTTCAGGATGTGTCAGTGCAGGACAGCTCTTTTACAGAAACAAGTCTTCTAAGAAGGTTCATTAATGAATTTCATTAAAGGCTACTGAGTACAACTGGACGAAAAAACAAAGCTTCAAAAAAGCTTGGACAGAGACTGAACTAATGCCTTGTATCTAATAAAATCAAAGCCAGGATCCTCTAGGTCTCCCAAAGCAAATAATTTAACATAGTCTTGTGAGATTTCTCCTAAGCAGTCTGTCAATATGAGAACATATAACCCATTATCTTAACAGTATTTCTAAAACCTGACCCAGAAATGCTGTTATATTATCTGGATTTTCAAGCATCTCCCAGGCTTTATTTGGAATAGAATTAAAATTGTAGCAGTACTACAAAATAGCTCACCTACATTGGGAGACATTACTCAAATACGCATTACATAAAGAAGCAATAATTAGCTCAAAAGGTTTTATAAAAGGTTGGTAAGAGAAGACTAGAGTGTCTACTCATACGTTTTTCAAGTATCCACTACTGTGGCACCCTAACACGTACTGGTATCTTTGGAAGCCATCAGAATTACCTCTGTGTTTAAAAGACTGCCATTTCAAGCAATTATGCACAAAAATAAAAACCTGATCTTCACAGTCAGGAAGAAGCCAAAGGTAAACTATATGGAAAAGAGCTATCTTACAGAACAGTCGAGGAAAAGAAGGTGATGTTATGGTAAAATATTTAAAAACAAACCAAAACCAACCCACCATCACAAGAGCACCCCAGTAATTAATTTGTTGTGCAGCCTCACAGTTACATCAGCATTAAAACGCCAGATCAGAAATGTATGCCGACTTTGTTGCTGAAGCCAGCATGCACTGCACCATTTCTTTTAAGTCCCACTGTCTGCACTGTCTGAATTATGGCTAACAATAAAATTAAATAGCAATTATTAGGCTTAGTTTATTATCTGTAAAATCTCCAAGATACCTCTTATTGTCTTAAGAATTAATACCTGAAATACCATAAAAAAAAGACACCTGAAAGTCAATAAAAGAAGAACAGATTAAAAGTTACGACATTTAATCTAGTCAGCATTTACCTGACTCTTACAAAATACTGCATCTGGATTAAGCACATTGAAATCATAGGTAGTCAGTCCATTCATAGACATTTATCTATTCTCAGATAATAAAGTACTTTTAAGTTTTTCTTCTGTTCAGACCCCCCAAAAAATTGGAATTAAGAGGGAGTAAGATTGGTAAACCTGATAGGCTAATGGGACTTCTTAGAGTAATGTCTTAATCAACAGATACATTCATCTTAATTGAATTTCTCTCCATACACTATCTGCATGTAGTTTCAGATATTTTATATATATACACATTAATTACACACCATACATATTCTATTATAAAACAATATATATTCACATACATTATATATATTTCCATATTTTATCTGCATAAGGTATGTTTTACTTCTTTACAATAAAGCCACCACAGGTAGTGACAGATTTTAATTCATGGAGCTCCTCCCCACCTCCCCCCATCAATTTTATTTTAAAATCCTATTACCATTAAAGTTACTCACACAAACAGTGCCATAGGCGTGTGTGTATATATATAAAAATTTAAATAGGTTGAAGTTAATGAAGGCACAGGTGCAGATCCATTATTACTTATAAAGAATCAGAAAAAAAAAATGAACCTGCAGACATTCAAAACAAGGGCGGAACCTGGAAAGATCTTTTTTCTCCATCTTGCACACACACTCTTGCTTCTCAGAGACTTTCGCATGTAACTAAACTCTGATGCTACCCTGCAGTCCTGTTCAAGACTCAAACATCAGGATAGTAGATACTTCATTATATTTACTAGAACTGTATGATACATACTGAAGAAGAAAATTATTTTAACAACAAAACAATTTGATTTTGTAAGTATCAAACCTTTACATTATCAAGCTTTTCTACACGGTAGGTAGCAAAAACTAGATCTGAGCTTTGCTTAAATGGGACCTGACCTCTGTTACACCCCTTATGAAACATCTCCCTTATCTGACAAGGCCAAGGCTCATAGCCATTTTTAGTGAGAACCTGAAGAACTTCAGTACAAAACAAAAGTGAAAA